TTTCCTACACAGTTCCTGGATCCTCCCTTGTGTATGGGCACTACCTCTGCTACCTTCCAGTCTGCTGGTAGTTAGCCGTGACTTAGGGATAAGTTAAACATATGAGCCAGCGGGTGGGCCAGGACCGTTGCCAGGGGTTTCAAGATGGCTGGGTGGATGCTATTCACCCCTGCCGATTTACCATTGCTGAGACGCATCAGATGCTCCTCGACCACCTGGGGGAGTATTTCAAACTCTGCCATACCTGGGATGGGCCTCGGAGTAGGGTGCCTCCCGGGCGCCCCAATACATGCCGCCACCTGAATGTGGGGGGTGTTTAAAGGGGCGACTGTTTCCGTTTGGAGTCACTCGCTAGTCATAAGCAGTGCTCCCTCCTCCTATGCGATTGTCTTCCCTATCGGTTCTGAAGATACTGAAACCTTTTGGTTTTAACGACTCGATGTCCTCATTCGTTCGGAACCAGGTTTCAGTTATCGCTATGCAGTCGGAGTGAATGCACTCCGACGTTTATTCACCCCATTTGTTCCCCAGGCTGCAGGCGTTTGTGCTGAACACCCTCAGATCTGATCTATGTCTAGTGATGGGTACTTTGGGGTGGGACTCGGGCTTGAAACCCGAGTCCGCCCTCCGTTTTTTGCATCTGAAGGTTTGCTGGGTATGCCAGGCGTTTCAAGCCTGGGCTTGCAATTGAGGGTGGGAGGCTGTGGGTTGGCTAGGCTGCTTAACCCGGGCCGACTAGTGGGTGATGTTTCTGCAGTGGATGTTCCCTTATTTATCACCTTGGGGCAGCCGTAGGAAGGGCAGTTTCGAGGGCATTACGGTCGGTAGCTGTTTGTCTGTTCGGCCCTTGCTAGCGTTGTCAGGCTCTACAGAAATAGCCCCTTTGGTCTCCGCCCTCAGTAGAGCAGAGGCTGCTAGAAAAGAGTCTCTGTGTCGAGGGTTGCTGAACTCGACAAGCACAGGACTCCCCTTGTTGCCTTTCGGTAACCATTGAGTGCCTTTGAGAACTTTACTTCTGGGGCAGAGGTTTGTCCCGTCCCTGTCTGTGGTGTGCTACCAACCGGCTTAAGTGGTTCCGATGCAGGAGTCATCGATTTCGGTAGGGTGCCGGGCCCCGCAGCCTTTCCCTTGGCCGCCTGTGTCAGAATATTAGTGAACACATAGCACACCCATTTCAGGCATTTGTGCTCAGTGTAGAGGCCGTAGGTCTTATTAGTGAGTTTGCTGCACTTACGGTGATACCATGTACCACAACAGTCACAGCAGATGTCCTCGCTTACGCTAACTAGGCAGCCAGTTATCCCACAGGGAAATACCCTGCCCTCAGTTTTAGGGCTAGCCTCAGCGGATGGAGAGCGTTTTTTCCTTGTAGCTGTAGTGGTCATTAGGAGATAGTCTACTGCCTCCGGGTGGTAAGAACGGAGGATTTTGACAGACTAAGGGAACCTTAAGCTGGCGAACTATGGCTTGGTGTTAAAAATATACTAGATGAGATGGAAGAGGTTTATTCTGAGCAAAAAGCGAGTAAAATGGGATAAATGAATATAAAAAGCATGAAAGGGAAATAGCATGCACCGGTTTGGAGCATTAACCGCGAGCCAAAGTTAACACTCTCCAGCGTAGTAAGGCTAAACTTCCGGTACCTTCAGGGAACAATATAATTTCCCCTGACTAACCGGTTGTTCTTCCTCACCCATACCGTGCTATCGAGAAACACAGGAGATTAGTGAACGGATCGGTTTTCGCGGGTCGTGAGATATTACCCTCCATTACTAAATACTTTTGGCTCCTCTCGTACGGCCGCACATACATCCTGTTTGCGTTCACAAACCAACTTTATGGCTTGAAATGTGCAGTTTTGATTCATCACCATGTGCCGCTGTAGCTCGGAACAATTAATTCCAGCGTTGAGTCTGTTACGGAAATGCGTTTGGAGCTGATCTTTGAAATTACAGCGCGAACCCTGAGTCTGCAGCTGAAGAATGTAGTTTCGGACGAACTGAGTAGGATCACGAGCAAGGCAATGGGATTTTGCTCCCTCAACTTCCTCAAAGTTCACTGGCTGGAAATGCTTTAACAACAGATTCTTGAATTTGTCGCACTTTAGTTTTATTGGTTACTCTGGGAATGCCAAACGTTTAGTCAGTGCATAAGCTTCCTTTCCAACAGTAGTAAGAAAATGTGCCGTCTTTTTCTCGGCGTTCCGACTCTTACGGGTGAGGCATCAAATCTCAAAACGTACAAATAGTCTTCCACATAACGTAAATTCGAATGAATATTAGGAATTTTCAAGTTGCAGGTGTCAGTAAAGATATAAAAATTGACCGCGACGCCAACTGTGACGATCTGCACTTGGTATCGAAAGTCGAATCGCAATAAATCCGCGCAGTTAAGCCCCAGCCGAATTAGTACGCAGTATGAAATATAACACCGGATTATTCGAAGTTGAATTATACTACACCCCGTAATTGTACAAAGGCAATCGATCATGCAATAAAACAAGCATGCTCAGTTTATGCGAAATCACCTTAGCTACGTCAGCTACCTTTGTATTCAACATTGAAAACGTAATTATTATAACTCTTTTCGGCTTACAGACTCCTTTTGATAAATGATTCCGGAAAACTCCTATTTTCGGTGTTTTAATTCATCGATCGAGTGCGTTCTACTCGGTACGCAAAATGTGCTGAATTCCCTTGACCTTGAGCTTGCGCGCGCGGTATCAATTTTCGGAGCGTGGGGCAAATACTCATGCAAATCACCTTTCAAGTCCAGAAATTAGACCACGGTGGATCCAGGTCCAGCCGAAACCGACCGGTACTCGCCTAAGGGTCAGCTCAGGTTGCTACTAAGTGGAGCCTATGCGTTGGTGGCTGCTTTCTGTGAGGAAACACGGTGAGTCCAGCGTCCGTGTTAACTTTGGCTCGCGGTTAATGCTCCAAACCAGTGCACGCTATTTCCCTTTCATGCTTTTTATATTCATTTATCCCATTTTACTCGCTTTTTGCTCAGAATAAACCTCTTCCATCTC